GATTGTCTCCAATATTTTGCAATTATAAATAATGCTATAATGAATAACTTTGAGCATATGTATTTTGTGTTGTTGGAGGTATATCTTCAGGGTATTCCTAGAAGTAGAATTACTAGGTCAAAAGGTAAGTGCAAGTACTAAGTTACTAGACAAAAAAAAAAAAAAAACCAAACTCACTGCCATTGAGCAAGTCTGACTCATAGCAACCTCCACCTTTGTTAGAGCAGCTACTAAAAAAACTATGCAAAAAGATATACTCAAAAACACTATGGATAGTCAAAATGAAATTCTAAAAAATGTTCACATAAATCCCCCAGGAGGACAAGGAAAAGTAGGAAGAGGAATGAGAAATAGGGAACAAACAGAAACCAAATAATAAAACGGCAGACTTAGGATCTACTGTCAATAATTACCCTCAATGTAAAGGTTCTGAATATGACAATTAAAGGACAGAAATTGAAAGAGGGGATATAAAAGTATGACCCAACTATATGCTTTCTACAAGAAACTCTCTCCCAATATAAAGATAGGTTGAAAATAAAAGGCTAGAAAACAAGATATGAGTAACTATATTAATATCAGATAAAGTAGACTTCAGAGCAAAGGAAATTACCAGGCACAAAGAGAAACACTACTAATGATAAAATGGTCACTACACCAAGAAGAGATAAATGTTGTTTCTCACCGAACAACAGAGCATCAAAATATATGAAGTAAAACTATGATAGAATGGAGAAAAGAACAAATCTACAATTATAATTGGGGACTTAGACATCCTTCTCTCAGCAATAGGTACAGATAGGAAATCAGCATGTTTATAGAACTGAACCATTAGCATAAACTGAACCACAATTAACCAATAGGATCTAATAAATATTTGTAGAACACTCTATGCCCAAACAGCAGAATACACGTTGTTTTCTAGCTCCCGTGGAACATTCACTAAGATCTGACTCATAGCCCCCATTGGGTTTCCAAGGCTGTAAATCTTTATGGAAGCAGACTACCTGATCTTTCTCTGTGGAGTGGCTAGTGGGTTTGAACCTGCAGTGTTTTGGTTAGCAACCAAATGCCTTAACCACTACCAGCAGACGTCCTTGAGGGACACAGACCATATTCTGAATTATAAAACAAATTTTAAGTAATTGAAATTATACGGAGTAAATTTTCTGACCATAATGAAACCAAACAGGAAATCAGTAATGAAAAGATAACAGAAAAGCCTCCACACACTTGGAAATTAAACAACACACTTCCAAATAGTCCATAAGTCAAGAGTAAGTCTCAAAAGAAAGAAAACGGTGGGGGGGGGGGGCTGGTGAGGGAGAGAAAGTTAATAACTTGGTAAAAATGAAAAATTTGACATAACACAGTTTGTGGTATGCAACTAACGCAATGCTAAGAAGGAAGTTTATAGCACTAAATGATCCAAGTTCCTACCTCAGGAAACAAAAACGAGCAAAATAAACTCAATGAAAGCATAGAAAGGATATGATGAAAGCAAGAGCTGGAACCAGTGAATCTGAAAACAGAAAAACATTGGAGAAAATGAAACAAAATTAGTTCTTTGAAAATATCAGTAAAATTGATAAGCCTCTGACAAGACTGATGAGGATAAAAAGACACAAATTACCAATATTAGGAATGAAACATTATTAGTATAGATCTATAGCCATAAAAAGAATAATACAGGATTAATTTGAACAACACTACACATAGAACCTCAACAACTTAGATGAAATGAAGTAGTTCCTCAAAAAGAAAACCAATTAAATTACCTTCTCCCCAAAAAAGGAGAAAACTATAAACCACTGTGTCTTATGAATTTAAGTACAGCAATCTTCAACAAAATACTAGCATATCAGCTCTAGCAATATATAAAAAGAATTGCACATCATGTCCAAATGGGATATATGGTTTAATATTTAAAAATCAATCAATGAAATCCAACATATCAACAACAGAAAAAAATTGTATGATTGTATCAATATAGAAAAAGCATTTAACAAAATTCAGTACTCATACATGATTTAAAAAAAAATTTATGAGTAGAGGAGAAATTCTCCAACTGGATAAAGAGCAGAATGCAGAAATTATTGAGTAATATCCTTAATATCACACACAAATAAAATTGTGCTGAAGGTAATTAAAAACAGTTGGGTTGCAGCAGTGCAATAATAGGGAACTGCTAGAAATTCAAGCCAGATTCAGAAGAGGACAAGGATCAAGGGATAACATTGCTGGCGTCAGATGGATCTTGATTGAAAACAGCCAACAACAGAAAGTTGTTTACCTGTGTTTAATTGACTATACAAAGACACGTGGCTCCATGGATCTTAACAAATCATAGGTAACATTTTGAAGAATGAGAATTCCAAAACGTACCTGTACATAGACCAAGAGGTATGAACAGAGCAAGTGGGATACTACGTAGTTTGCGATTGGGAAGGGTGTGTGTCAGGGTTATATATCCTTCCACCATACTTACTCAATCTGTATGCTGAGGAAATAACCTGAGAAGCTGGACTATAGAAAGAAAAACCTGGCATCAGGATTGGAGGAAGACTTGTTGCCTGTGATATGCAGATGACACGGCCTTGCTTACTGAAAGTGAAAAGCACTTGAAACACTTACTGATGAAGATTAAAGATTACAGCCTTCGGTGTGGATCACACCTCAACATAAAACAGAAATCCTCACTACTGGACCAAAACATTGTGATAAATGGAGAAAAGATTAAAGTTGTCAAAGATTTCATTTTACTTAAATCCACAGTCAACACCCATGGAAGCAGCCATCGAGAAATAAAATAATGGATTGCCTTGTGCAGATCTGCTGCCAAAGACCTCTTTAAAGTGTTAAAAAGCAAAAAGTCACCTAGAGGGCTAAGATGGGCCTGACTCAAGCCATGATATTTTCACTCATCTCATATGCATGTGAGAGCTGGACAGTGAATAAGGATAGAGGAAGAATTGATGCTTTTGAATTATGGTGTTGGCAAAGAATATTGACTATATCATGAACTGGCAGAAGAACAAGTAAATCTGTCTTGGAAGAAGTACAGCTGGAATGTTCCTTAGGAGCAAGGATGGCAAGACTTTGTTTTACATACTTTGGACATGTTATCAGGAGAGTATACTCCCTGGAGAAGAACATCATGCTTGGTAAAGTAGAGGGTCAGTGAAAGAGACAGACTGTCATCAGGAGACAGTGGCTACAATAATGGGCTCAAACATGGCAATGATAGGATGGTGCAGAATTAGGCACTGTTTTGTTCTATTGTAAATAAAGTTGTTGTGAACCAGAACCAACTAGATAGCACCTAACAACATTAAGAAATCTACAGTTAACATCATATTTAAATGAAAGACTGGATGTTTTCCTCTTAATCGATTAAGAAAAGACAAAGGTGTCTGCCTGCACCACTCTTATTCAACATTGTATTCAAAAGTTCTACCCAGTACAATAGGCAAAAAAAGTAAAAGGCATGTAATTAATTCTTCATTTTAAAAATAATCTTGTTCTTTTCTTTCATTAAAATTCTGGTGCCACAGTGGTCATGGCATTTGGCTGCTAACTAAAAGGTCAGCAGTTGGAACCCACCATCCACTCCACATGAGAAAAATGAGGCAGTCTGCTTCCATAAAGATGTACAGCCTTGGAAACCCTATGGGGGCATTTCTACACTGTCCTAAAGGTCTCTATGAGTCAGAATTGACTTGATGCAGTGGCAGTGGGTTTTGAGTTTCTTCCATTTCCTTCCTGAGTTCAGTCAGTTCTCTTTCCATTTCACCCTCTTGTTCATTTCTGTTTTCAGTATCTGATCCAAAGTAGTTTTTTTTAGTATCCTCAAATGCTTACTTGAGTATATTTAAGTTAGTTTAGAGTATTGGCTTACAGTTTTCTGCTTCATGGTTGTTTCTTGGGGATTTTTTCTTAATTGATAATGTATAAAATTTTGTTTCCTGATTTTCTGCAGTAGCTCTGCATACACTTCTCCTTTTGTTCATTTTTATGATAGTTGCATGTTTTAAAACAGTCCTAGTTTCATAGCACCCTCTTCTGTCTCTATAGGAAAATCCACATACTTTGCAGGGCTGCCACGTTTGTTTCTGTGGTGGTAGGAAAGGCTGGAGCCGAGAGTCCTCTAATTTTGTGGTTCTCATTTGTCTTGTGGGACCCTTTTCCTCTTTCTGTTTGCCAATGGGGACTTCTCTCTTCATTTTTCTGTTTATTCTTTCCCAGAAACTATGCATTTTAAGTTTCTTCCATGTGATCTGTATTCTGATTTGTGTAGACACTTTCTTAGCATTTTCAGATGCTTATGGTCGTATTTTTGAGTCAATGTTAGGTCTCTCTACTAGCTTCCCTCTTCTGTTCAGCCCATAGGTTTTTTGTTTGGTGACTTACTTTGTAGTTTTTGTTCTGGCCTGTCCTTGGCGTGGCACACATCCTTATGGAGCGGTGAGTGAGGGGTGGGAGAGGTAGAGATCATGTGCTGTTTTTTGGGTAATTTTGTGGGGTTTTTTTTACATTTTTTGTCTTCAAGTTAGGCTGAGGGTATAGTTTTGTGTGGAATACACTTTTCCTTATTCTGTTGCCTGTTGTTTGGAGAGGAAATAGTATGAAGTAAATTACTACATGGTTGCCAATTTCTTCAGCTCTAAAGAATTTTTATAGTATAGTGCTGTGTTCATTTTTCTCTAAGCTCTTAGATATAAATGATTGTTGTTGTTGGTATGTGCCGTCGAGTTGGACTCGACTCATAGCGACCCCTCCTTGCGTTTCTGAGGCAGTATCACTATGGAAGTAGATTGCCCCATCTTCCTTCCAAGGAGTGGTTGGTGGGTTTGAACCGACAGCCTTCTGGTTAGCAGTCAAGTGCCTTAGGCATTATGCTACCAGAGCTCCTAGATATAAATGATAGTATAAATGAATTAGGATCAGTAATAATTTGAGGGTATACATAAGCATAATTAACCCTTTTCTGTTGTTAAAAGGTTACAGATGAGGCAATTTAAAAAGAACTGGAAGTATGATTTAGATTCAGCCTTGAAAGAAATAAAGGTATGACTCTTTTTTGTTGTTGTTTGTTTCGCTTAATAGATTTATCTTTAAAAGTAGTTTTAGGTTTACAGAAAAACTGTTCAGAGAAACTTGCTTTTTAAATAAATTGCTGGGATTTCTGAAGCCAATAACAACAAAAAGTTCAAATAGTAACTCCATGTTAGGAAAAGTTTTAGAAATTTGGCTGTTAAACAGAGAAAATGCTCAAGGAAATTTTTTTTTTTTACATCTGTATATGTTGAAATGCAAACATACATGTGGTCTTTTAATAGGAGTATAAAATTTTCTGGAGTTTGTGGACTATTCTAAAAATAACTTTTCAAAATTAATTTATGTTAAGATAAAATCATACTAATAGTATTTCACAGCTCAGCCTTAATGCTGATGGCTGGGCATACCACTTCGGTGTACAAATCACGATTCGTGGATCACTGCAGAGTGTGAAGTGATGGGGGAAACCAAGATCACACTGAGTTCTTCAAGTGTTTAGAGCATAAGAAATAGAGGACTTTCAGTGTGATTTTACTTTATTCATTTTTTTTTTTACTTTTTAAATGTTTTTGTATTCATCTATTACTTACTGTTCCAGCATGTAGCCTTAATTAACATCATGTATCCTTCAGATAACTTATTTGTTGATGTGGAAAACTATTTTGTTAGTTCATCATTGAAACTGGTAGGAAATTATTAAGTTTACTGAAATTTATTTTGTAGTACTTTTATAGAAATAAGGGAGCTTTGGTAGCTCAGTGCCTAAGGCATTTGACTGCTAACCAGAAGGCTGGCGGTTCAAACCCACCAGCCGCTCCAGAAAAGGAAGATGGGGCAGCCTACTTCCATAGAAATTTATCACCTCAAAACCCAATGGGGTTCACTGTGAGTCGGAATCAATTCAATGGCAGTGAGTTTGGTTTCGTAGAAATGTATTTACTCACAAAGATATATGAGCCCTCGGAGCCATGGTCTCAGGGGACATCAAGCTCAATTGGCATAACATACTATACAAAAACATTGTTCTCCATCCTACTTTGGTGAGTAGCTACTGGGGTCTTTAAAGCTTTTAAGCAGCCATCTAGATGCAGTGACGGGTCTCTCCTTGTCCAGAGCAAAGAAGAATGAAGAAAAGCAAAGACACATGGAAACAGTTAGTCCAAGGGACTAGTAGACCATGTGATCCTCAGTCTATATGACCATGAGACCAGAAGAACTAGATGGTGTCCAGCTACCACTGTCAACCACCCAGAAAAGGATCAGTGCAGGATATCCTGGACAGAATGCGAGAACAAATGTGGAACAAAACTCAAAAAAAAAAAAAAGACCAGGTTTGGTGGTCTGATAGAACCTCGTGAGATCCCTGAGACTATGGCCCCTATTACCCTTCAAGTCTGGAACTGAATTCACTTCTGTAGCTTCCAGTCAAGCAGTAGGCATATGGGGTGAATGTTTACATCACATAGATAACACTCCTTGGAGTGATCAATTGTGGGACAATAGAAGGGCTGTGTATACACCGGGAGACAGCTCTGGGGGCAGGAGTGCATAGGAGAGAAGGACACAGGAAAGAGGTCACTACAGGGAAGAAGTGGGAAGAGAGCTGTTACAGTGTGAGGAACTGCAGTCAACATCTTGAAACAAAATGTGTATGAACTGCTGTATGGAAAGTGAATTTGCTCTGTAAACTTTGACCCAAATCACAATAAAAATTAAAAAAAAAAAAAAGATATGTGAGCCCTAAATTATAAATGGCAAAGTAATAGTAAAATCTAATACTTAAAAGTAAATATTGCTATGAAGACGGCTTTAAAGCAGAAATATGCAAACTATGGGATAGGCATCGTACTAAATACTTCACCTGGATTATGGCAATTCATCTTCATAAAAACCCTATGAGTTTGGAACTTTTACAGTCCCTGTTTTATAGGTGAGAAAATGCTGTTTTCTCACTGTTAAGGTAGTAAGCAACTTGTCCAAAATGACATAGCAAGCATTTATTTCCATAAAATCCATCTCCACTGTCTCATTCAGTTTTGGAAGTGATATCATTAACTGCATTAGGAACTAGATATGAATGTGCATTGCTATCTTGAGTTTATAGAAGCTTTCCTATAGTCGATATTGTATTACTGAAGTTGTAAACTTATCGATAAGTTTATAAGATTTGCAGAGATTGTCTTAGTAATTGCTATATATCTAATGCCTGCATATGTCTGGCTCATAATCTATTTGCATAAATGAAATTGTTTTCTTTTTCCTTGCTTCTTTCCATCCTTCTTTCCTCCATTTTCAATAATTTTTATAGCAATGTAAAGAAAAAGGTGACTGGACCAAATTGGGAAATTTATACCTTAATGTAAAAATAGCCTGTGAAAAATTTGCAGATTTCCAGAGATTTTGTGCTTGTGTTGCTGAAACACTAACAGAAGACTTTAAGGAAGAGAGACCAGGTGTTCCTTTTTGTGAATTTGCTGAAACAGGTAAAATGTCACTGTTTTAATCTGATAATTGTGTGGTAGGGTGGTGCAATGTATAGCTCTTAATAGTTTCCTTGTTGGGAGTACATTTAAATTGCAGTTTTCAAATACACCTCTTTTTTCATTATATATTTCCCATCTATTGTTACGTTACACTATAATGAAATAAAGTAAAAAAATTAGTATTCTAGTATCATATGTTTCATGTCCTTATTTTTTTTTTCATAAAGAATGGTAAAATTATATCTGACGAATTATAATGAACATCTGAATTTTTGACATTATACTACCCTTACTATTATAAGCAAACAAAAGTTACACTTTTTTTTTTTAAATTCACATACTTTTGAGGTTTTTTTTAAAACATGCGCCATTCATTAGTATAGTTTTTATCAGGGATCAGCAAATTTTTTCTGTAAAAGACCAGATAGTAAATATTTTAGGCTTTGCACACACTATATGTAGTCTCTGTTGGATAGTTTTTTTTCCTCTCTTTTTTTTTTAAACAATGCTTTAAAAATATAAAACCATCCTCAGCTCATGGGCTATACAAAAAGAGGCCATAGACAGCCTTAAGTATAAGCGTTACTGGAGTTTCTTAAATAAGGGGAAAAAAATGATTGTCTATACAAAAGATATATTTTTTGACTAATATTGTATCAAAATTTAAGATTAAGTAGAAAACATAAGAACTGTCAGTTCTATCTTTAAATACATAAGAGTCATGTCAGACTATAGCTTATACTTCAAGAATTTTTTTTTTCATATTTCTTGAAAGTATAAAGTTTTGAAACAAAGTAGAATGCTCAAGCTGTTCAGAAATGGTACATTTCTTGATGGATTCTATTTGATGACCTAAGATAGCAGCCTGTCTCCATTGTTGTTTAATTTATACACAGAAATTGTAATTTCAGGGGGAAAAAAAGAAACAGGCCATGCCCCAGATTTGGCCCACATGTTACAGTTTGCTGACCCCTAGTCTTTATGGTAGAACAAACAATTCTGTATTTATTTGGCTTTTCCATCATTTTAAGTGATCATTTCACTTTCTTCCATGTATCTTCTTTGTTTTTCAGTTAGCAAAGATCCACAAAATAGTGAAGTAGATAAAACTTTGCTGGGAAGAATTGCAATCAGTGTTATGTACTTCTATCACAAACTGTTACAGTGGCCCAAGGTACTTTGTTAAATTTTTCTTTTGGCTTTGTATAGAGAATGTTTGTTTAAAAATTATGGCCAGAATATAGGTTAACCCGTGAAACTAGGAATTTGCTATAGGTGACAAAATGAGTCCTAGACTAGTAAGTAAATATTTAGATAATATATTAGGTAAATGTGAAAAAGATGTGGCATGAGACTGGCTGCTATTGTCAGTATATGGACTACTTAGGAAGCCATGCTAAAAGCCATATTTATTTGAAGCAACATTCAATTGAGAATTTATTTTGCCAACTCTTAAGTATCAATAGCATTATAATTTTTGAAGAGCTCAAAAATGAACCCAGGATACTCAAGTTTAACAGAACTTCTTAAATGTCAGCTCTTAGAATATTTTGGAATATTATATACAATGTATTTTGATGTCCAACTTTGAGGCTTAACTCACTATAGCCGTGGTCTAGTGTCTCTAGACAATATTGTACTGCTGTTCTTTAGATTTCCTTGAGGTGGTGTGGTAGAGTTACAGATTTAATCACTTGGAATTTTGGGGTTTAACGTAAAGTTTAGTGAAGCAGAGACAGGAAAATCCAAAATAGGGGTAAAGTGGTGAAGGATAGAGCTATATGGAAAGTAGAGTAGTTAAGAATACAGTGTCTATCAACTATTAAAATGTATCTTACATTGCTCCCTTTATTTTTTAAAGAGGCTATTTTGGGATCTGTGGTTGCATAGTGCCTAAGGTGTTTGACTGCTAACCAGAAGGCTGGAGGTTCAAACACACCAGCCACTCCTCAGAAGAAAGGTTGGGCAATCTACTTCCGTAGTGATACCACCTCAGAAACCCAAGGAGGGGTCGCTATGAGTCGGATCCGACTCGACAGTAGTGTGTTTGGGTTTTTTTGTTTTTATTTCAAACTGAAAGTATGTTCAATAACATTTAAGTATATGGTTACTCATATACATAAAAAATGAATTAATTAAAACAGCCAGACGGTTGTACAGAAAAATTGACATCTTTCCCAGAGGTTTAGCACTTACTATGTGGGAGACCTGAAATGGGCAAGATGTACCTGGTCCCTGCTCTCACAACCTAGTTGAAGATTGGTGATAAATCCAAAAACTCACTGTCGTTGAGTTGGATCCAACTCATAGCGACCCCTCCTTGGGTTTACAAGGCAGTATCACTACAGAATTAGACTGCCCAACCTTCCTTCCAAGGAGTGGCTGGTGGGTTTGAACCGCCAGCCTTCTGGTTAGCAGTCAAATGCCTTAGGCACTATGACACCAAGCTCCAAGGTTGGTTGGTGATAGCATGGGTTTATTTGATATTTAATGCTTGAGAACTTGCCGACTACCTAACAAGAAGAACCTTTTTGAAAACTTACTGATTTTTCTAAAATTTTAGAGTATGTTTTAATATTATTTGGTTATTTTTTCTTAAGACATAAAAGGTTAAGGAATTTTTGCCTGTATTTTAAATTTTTAACTTAGAATGAATATTTTATTACCCTGTTTAGTATGAATATTTTGAAATGAAACCTATTCCTTTTTAACACAAAGATGAAACCACTGAAATTAAACTGAAGATACTTCTTGAAAAAAGTACTCATTTTATCACTCAAATTGAAAGTTCTTTGACATCATAAGCATCTGCCTCAAAACTGTCTAGAATATAACATAAAACAGAGGTCTGCATACTAAGGCCTACAGACTGAGTCTGGCCCACAGTATGTCTTTTTATGGTCTGTGACCTACAAATGTTTTTGACATTTTAAAAAGGTTATCAATTTTTATTTTCTAAAAAACACCAACAACTAAACAAACAACTTGGAAATCCAAGGAGGGATAGCTATGAGTCAGATCTCACTCGACGGCAGTGAGTTTGGTATTAAAAACTATTTCATTGAGTTTTGGGGAGCTCTAGTAGCATGGTGCCTAAGGCACAGGACTATTAAGCAGAAGGCTGGCAGTTCAAACCCATCAGCCACTCCTCAGAAGGAAGGTTGGCCAATCTACTTCCGTAGTGATACTGCCTCGGAAACCCAAAGAGGGGTTGCTATGAGTCGGGGCCAACTCGACGGCAAATAACAACAATAACAACAAGTATAAAATTATAATATATGTCCAGTTTCTGATGTCTGAACCAATTCTTGATGTAGAATATGTGAAACAGTCTACCAACAATTTTATCCTTTTTTTTGTTTGTTTTTACTCTCTTTTCTAAATTAATGACAAATTACCTTCCTTTCCACTCTCCCTCTCCCTCGTGGGTCTCAGGGTGGTCAACAGAAGAAGAGTAAAAACATATCAGTACTTTACCACGTTAAGGCATGAAATCCTTTTGCCAAATGAAATCTTAAGGGGAAGCACAGTGTATAAAACAGATGGAAAAAGAACTGCTAATAAAGGGGGCCAGGGGAATCGAGGCGGTAAGGGAGATATATGAGGCAGAGTCCCGTTTGCTCCCCTCCCCTCCCATCTTTGTGGCTGAGCTCTTGGAGCAGTTGGAAACCATCAGCCTAGAATGAGGATTCAAAACTGGATAATTGGCTTCTGCATAATTATTAGTTTATACATCTTAGTATGGTTAATGATTGGTACTCAATTAGTTCTTTATTTTTCCTCTAGGGAAGAAAGGTCTTAGATAAACTATATGAATTAAAAATACATTTCACAAGTTTAAAAGGACTTACAGGGCCTGAGCAGTTAGCATCAAGATGTCAAATTGTGAATATTGCAGCAGAAATTTTTCTCAAAAGTGGAAGCCTAGATGGTGCCATTTGGGTATTGAGGGGTAAGTTCTGTTATATGGAAGCAAAAAATAATGTATTAAGCATGTCATAATTCTTCTCTTTGTAATTACTTTAAGTTGATAGTGAATAATGGGTGATAATTTGGCCGAAACCCTAAGTGAATATGTGGGTGGGAAAGTTGGTTGTATAAACTGAAAAGGGAGAATTAACCTAGCTGTAAAGCAGAAATTGTATGAACTTTAGGCTAGGCACCATACTAAGTACTTTACCTTGATTATCCCAGTTCATCTCCAGAAACCCTATGAGTTTGGAACTATTAAAATCCTCATTTTATAGATATGAAAATACTGTCAGAATAGTAAGCAACTTGCCCAAAATGACCTAGGAGTAGAGGCCAGATTCAAATCCAGAAAGTCAGCTTCAGAGCCCAGGACTTTGAGCTGTTATCTGAAACAGGTAAACCCTAATTGTTACTTGCATAAGCTCTGTCTTCTCATGTTGGCAAATTAGACTTCAAACCAAAACAGGTCAAGTTTACTTTCCCTAGTAAGGCAATCAGTCTAGTAGAAATTACAATGAAATTAAACCAGCAGAAACAACTGAGGTTAATTTGGCATGACATAAATAAAAATTTAGAACAGTAATGGCACAACATGGTATCTAGTTATAGCTCTTACTACATAGACCATCAGAAGATTTTATTTGATACAATGGAATAAGAATGAAAAAAAATTAAGAATCTCAAAGTTTAGGTAGGATATATAAGAGTGTACCCTATAAGTATCTGGAATCTTTTGTTACCATCAAGAATAGTAATGAAAGATTTCAAACAAATGTCTGTTAAGAGAGTATGGGTTAATTAAACTGTGGAATTGCCATATGCTGGAGTATGATGAGGTAACTCTACAGATACTCATTTGGAATGATCTCCATAATATATTGCTAAGTGAAAAAAAGAATGTGCAAAACAGTGTGTACAGTATGCTTTCTTTTGTGTAAAGAAACAAATGGGTATATACATATTTGCTTATATATCCATAAAATATTTGTGGAAGGAGGCACGAGATTGCCTCAGGAAAGAAGAATTGAGTGCTTAGAAGACAAGGACGAGAGGCAGATTTGCTTTTTACATATATTTTTTTCTACATTTTTCCCCCTTTTAAAAAAGATTTATTTATTACCTACTAAACTTTTTAAGAAGGATCTCTGGGGGGCCTGGCACAGTGGTTAGGTGTTAAGCTGATAACCAAAAGGTCAGCAGTTCAAACCCACCAGCTGCTCTGCAGGAGAAGGATGTGGCATTCTGTTTCCATAAAGGTGACAGCCTTGGAAACCCTCTGGGGAAGTTCTTCTCTCCCCTACAGGGTCCTTATGAGTTAGAATTCAACTTGATGGCAATGAGTATGAGTATGTAAACTTCTTAAAGAGTACATAGATTACTCAAGTTTGAGAAATGGAAAATACTTTACACATTTTTGGTTTAGTAGGTGGCAGACTTTATGGTGAGAAATCTGTTATTTTGGATTCTCTCTTTAACATTTAAAACTCTTTCCCCAGCATCTGTACTCTGTATCCCAGCAAATGAGCAACAGATTCCTACCCTAGATTCCTACCCTATCTTATCCCTTTACTTAAAACCTTCATAATTTTTAATCATAGTTTGGAGGCTGAAAAGTAAATGTCTTAGCTCTCCAGAATATATATTTTGTAAAAAGTTATGCCATTTGTTAAGAAACTTTCATTGAATTTTAAAATAAATTTTACTGCCTTTATATATTGTTGTTGCTAGGTGCTATCTAGTAGGTTCCGACACATAATGATCCTGTATACAGAAGAACAAAACACTACCTACTCCTGCACTGTCCTCACAATGGTTGTTATGCTTGAGGTCATTGTTGCAGCCACTGTGTCAGTCCATCTCATTAAGGTTCTTCCTCTTTTTTGCTGACCTTACATAATGAAGCATAATGTCCTTCTCCAAGGACTAGTCCCTCCTGATAACAAGTCCAGAGTTTGTGAGATGAAGTCACTTCATGCTCACTTCTAAGGAGCATTCTGGCTGTACCTTTTCCAAAACAAATTTATTCATTCTTCTGGCAGCTCATGATATATTTAGTCTTCACTAACACCATAATTCACCTTTATATAAATAATACATACTCATTATAGAGAAATGTGAAAAGCTAGATAAGCAAAACTGATGACAAAAATCCCTTATCATTCAGTCTCCCAGAAATTATTATTATCCACTTTAATAGACTATACATACTCTTTTGTGCCTGTATTCTTCTACAATATCACTTAGCAGCAGGCTGCATGGTTTTCCATTTTATGAAAAAATGCCTATCTGTGTGTACGCGCACACACACATATTTATATATGTTACATATATGTTGTTTATATATTACTCATATATAATTCATATATATGTTATATATATTTTTATATATATCTATATATATGTTACTCTATGAATCTACTGTTATTGAACTAGCTTGTTTTCAATTTTGTATTGTAAACAATGATCCATGCTAAACATCCCTGCTAACTTTATTATTTCCTTAGGATAGATTCTGATAGCTGATTGCTGGGCTAAAACGTAAAGGCATTTGAAAGCTTTTTGGTAAATGTTGCCAAATTTGCCATTATTGCAATTCAGATTTGCAAGTAAGTTATTTCAGGTTTACTAGAAAGCCCTCCTTTATGAGAAAATCCCAGAGAGCTATTGCTTACTATCTTTTATATGACTATTGTCCTCATGAGATCATCGGTGCATATAAATGGTCTCAGGTGTTAGTGTCCAATATTAGTATCAGACAGACAGAGTGATGCATGCCAGGTTATACAAATCCTAATCTGGCTATTAACAGGTCTCATTTTTGTTAATAGAATACAAAAATCCTCTACTATTTGAAGTTGCACTAATCTGTAGTCTTAGTAGTGTGTGAGACGGTAGTTTACAAAACTTTACAACATTGAGTTTGATAGGGTAAAAGTGATAGTTATTGTTTTACTTTGCATTTAATTGTTTATAAAGAAATCAGACTGTTTATTTTTTCATTTGTACTTATTCTTTTGTGGATTACCTGTTCATGATCTTGATCTGTTTTTGGATGCTAGCATTTCTTTAAACTATCAATTTAATAATAATGTACTTGCTGTATGAGCATTGTGCTGTGTGTTACTTGTATCATTTCATTTAATTAGCACCAATGAGATACCCATGACGTAGGTGATAATATCCCAAGAGGAGGACACAGAGGTTCAGAGAAGGTCACAGAGCAATTACCTGTGGCCCTGGAATCCCAATCTGAATCTGTCTGACGATAAGTTTTCTGTTTTTTTTTTAATTGTGATTTGGGTGCAGATTTACAAAGCAGATTTGTTTTACTCTCAAAAGTTCATGCACATTTGGTTCCACAGCCCTGATTACAATGCCCAACCATAAAAAATTCTCCTACCATCTTCTCCCTATGACTGCTTCTTCCCTGTGCCCTTCTTATCTATGCATTCCTGTCTGCCCAGCTTTCCCTTTATGTAAATGCTGCCCCTCTGATGTCTCATGGCTGATTGATCCAAGAGGTGCATCTCCCTAGGGTAGGTGGGTGTATATCTCCCTGGGGAGATCAGTATACTCTTTCTGCATGTAGTCCTTTCTACCATTGGGCTGAGAGCCAATCTACGAAGTGAGTCCATTTCCAGGCCTGAAGGATAACCCAGGGCCGTATCTCAAGGGTTCCACCAGTCTCTATCCGATCAGTAATTCTGGTCATTTTTGTGTTTTTGAATTTTGTTCCACATTTTTCCTCCCATTCTATCCAGGATCTCCAATTTTGATCCCTTTCCTAATGGCTGGCATTGGTAGCCAGGCACCATCTCGTTCTGATCTCAGGATTGTGAAGGCTGAGGTCCTCATGGTCCATCATATCTTTGGACTAATTGTTTCCAAATGACTTTGATTTTCTTCACTTTTCTTTGCTCCAGACAAGAGGAAACCAAGATGGCTGCATCTTAGATGGCTGCTCAAAAGCTTTTAAGACCCCAGTCACTACTCACCAAAGTAGGATATAGAACAAGATTTTGTACTATGTATTACGTACGTTGTGCCAATTAAGTATGATGTCCCCCGAGACTATGGCCCCAAGCCAATGGGCCCAGTGATTGTCTCCCTCAGGGTGTTTTGGTTGTCTCTGAGAAGCTACACCAACCTTGTCCTCTGTTACTTCTGTAATGTATGTGGATAATTTTGCAGCACAAGTACATGTGTAAGACTGTCTTCAGCCAAATCTATTCTTGGTTTGGGGTATATTCCTGTTCGACTACCTCCACCTCATCTTCTCACCTGTCTGTGCATTTACCCATAGGCTAGTGTTTGGTGCCACTGGTCATGCAGTACTGTGCACGTAATACTATTCGTCTCTGTTGTCTATAGCTTTTGTGCACATTTCTGTGTCCTCCCTTTCCCAGTTGTCACTGTGCTGGTCACAGGCTCTTTTCATACTGCTCCTCCCCTCACCCAGATCAACATGTGGCCTCCAATTAGTCTGAAATTATCCCTCCCTATCCCTCCTATGCCCAGTAACAAACAAAGTGAGTTTTCTTCCCTGCGTAAACCTGTCCTTGACTTTTTACTATAATGGATTCATACAATATTTTCCTTCTGTGATTGCCTTACTTCACACAGCATAATGCCCTTCAAATTCATCCACATTGTGAGATGATTCATGTATTCTTCATTATTCTTTTAATGTGGGAGCTCTGGTGGTTTAGTGCCTAAGACATCTGACTGCTAACCAGAAGGCTGGCAGTTCAAGCCCACCAGCCACTCCTCGGAAGGAAGGTTGGGCAATCTATTTCTGTAGAGATACCACCTCGGAAACCCAAGGAGGGGTCGCTATGAGTTGGAAACGACTTGACAGCAGTGAGTGAGTGAGTCAGTCAGTGTGCACATACCATAGTCTGGTTATCCATTCATCTGTTGATGGGCATTTAGGTTGTTTCCATCTCTTTGCTATAGTGACTTGTGTTGTGGTGAACCTGG